GGGGGGGGGGGGGGGGGGGGGCTGAGGCTTCATTAGAGTGGCGGTGGGAAACGGGGGGGGGAGAGACAGCTCCCTCTTTTTCTCCTCCTCCCTCCACCCCGCTTTCTCCCTCCAGGCAATCAATAAACAAGGCGAGGTGTCAATCAACCGCCTGAAAACGACCTTTCGTCGGGCTCTCCCCCCCATCCAGCCCCCCCCAGTCTCTGCTCGCCGCATCCCGCTAATGATATGTCAAAGCCTCTCTCTCTCTCTCTCTCTCTCTCTCTCACACACACACACATACACACACACACACAGAGCCAGCGGGAGAAAAGACCAAAGTCCCAGCCCTGCGATGGGGCGCCCACGCCAACACACACACACACACACACACCGCCTGCGGGACTGTTTCCGCGGTTGGGGGGAAAAAAAAGAGGATCGAGCCGCGTCGGGGGAGACGGGGAGGGGGAGGAAGGGGAAGAACCCCTCCCCCCAGCCCCGCCGCCCACCTGCCCTCCTCCGTGGGGTTCTCCCCCGCAACCCGAGGGACCGGTCCCTCCTCCTCCACCCCCCCCACCCCCCAAAAGCGGCTTGCGATCCAACCCAAGCCAAGGGAGGCAGGATCGGCTCCCAGGTGGGCGATGGGTGGCTCCTTTCCCGCAGCGGGGCTCCAGCTACGAGCCCCCCTCAAAAGAAGAAACTGGGGGGGTCGCCTTAGCGCTCTCCCCGCCGCCGGGAAGCGCGCCTTCGACGTAAAGCAGCCGCTGGTCGGCCTTCCCTTCGGCTCCGGGGCGTCTAAGCGAGTCTCTCCGACCGAGCGCGCGGGCTTTCCGGAGCCCCGCAAGTTCCCCGTCTCCCCCCTCCACCCCTCCTCCTCCTCCTCCTCCTCCGAGCAGCCACCCACCCGCTTCCAGGCGCCAAAGAAGAAGCCGCCGCCGCCGTCTCGGAGCTTTCCGGCTTCAGAAGGTCGCCGCGGCGGCTCCATGGGCGGCCAGCGAAGAGCGGGGTTGGGCGGCTCCGAGCCAGGCGGCCGGGGGTGTTTGGAAAGGGGACGCGCGCGGCTCCAGCCTCCCGTCTGCCTCCCCCGGCGGACGGGGAAGGAAGGCTCCCTCCTTCTCTCTCTCCCTCCCTCCCTCCTTCCTTCCTTCCTTCCCTCCCTCCCCCGCCTGCCCGCCCCCTCCCTCCGCTCCTCTTCGCCCGCCCCGAGCGGGAAGGAGGGGGGGGGCGGCGGCAGAGAGACGCACCTCCGGAGTCTCTCGCGCGCCTCTGCGCAACTTTCCAACCACGCGGAGGGGGTGGGGGGGACTCCGACACGCGCTCCCGCTTGCCGCCCCCCCCCGCCGCCGCCGCCTCTTGCGCGCGCCCCCAGCCCCAAACCGGCGGGCGAGGGGTATTTTTGCAAAGCCTCCCAACACCCCCATCCTCGCCCGCCTGCCCCCCAAAACCGGGTTGCGCGCAATCCAAGACGCCCGCAATCCCCGTCCCCCCCCACCGCAACCCAAGGCATCAAGAGTGGGAGTTAAAAAACAGAAAGGAAAAAAAAACACCTCTCCTTCCTTGGGGGCTCCCCCGGCATCCTATAGTCGGTCCCGCCCGGTTGAAGGGGCCAGGTCTACTCCATCCCGGAGGAAGGTGGTGGGGGGGGTGGCGAGAGTGCCTCTGCCCAGGAGCAGAGCGCGCTCGCTCTGCCAGCCTGGCCCACGGCTGGTTCCCCCCCCACGGGGGGGTGATGAGGGGTGGTCGCCGGGGGTACCTTTGTGTCGGATGCTCCGCTTCCAGTCCTTGGCGGTCTCCCGGCCGCTGACGAACTGGAACTCGTTGGGGGTGAGCCACTCGCCCCGGTAGCGGATGGAGGGCCCTTTGCTGCCCTGGCAGAGTTTGCGGATGTAGAGCAAGGCTCGGTTGTCGCCGCACTCCACCTCCAGGCAGGGCTCGCCCCGGTCGAAGAAGGGCTGGAAGTCCGGCGCGGCGGCGGCGGCGGAGGCGGAGGAGAAGCGCTCCAGCACCAGCTCCTCGGGCGGCGGCGGCGGCGGCGGGGCGGCGGCGTGGAAGTCCAAGTAGGCGCGTTGCTGCTGCTGCTGCTGGTGGTGGTGGGCGACGGCGGCGGCGAAGAGCTGCTCGTAAGCCGGCGGCAGCGGCGGCGGCGGCGGCGGGTGCGGGGTCACCACCGGGATGGAAGCGGCGGCGGCGGCGGCTAAGGGCACCAGGTACCCGGGCAGCGCCTCCATGGGTTGGTGGAAGGCGGCCAGCGCCAGCTCCTCGCCATCCGGGCGCTCCCTTTTGATGGCCGGCATGCTGGCGGCGGCGGCGGCGGCGGCCTCGGCTGCTTCCAGCGAGCGGCGAGGAGGAGGAGGAGGAGGAGGAGGAGGCGGCAACAGCAGCTACACCTTGCAGGCGCCGCCGCCGCCGCCGGAGGAGGAGGCTGGCGAGGCGGAGGCGGAGGAGGCAGCCACGGGGCGCCGGACTCCCGCACAGCAGCCGGCGACGGCCGTTTTAATACGCCCGGGAGCAGCAGCAGCAGCAGCAGCAGCAGCTCGACGCGCCTGCTGGAGCGCTGCCCCTCCGGCGGCCGGCTTGACATTTCGGCCAGCGAGGGGCCGCCGCCGCCATCTCGGTCGCCAAAGAGTTATTGATCGCCGGCGGCGGCGGCGGCGACGGAGGCCGGAGAACCTCCCTCCCGCCCCGAGTTTGACCTGCTGGCCCGGCCGCTTTCGGCTCTCTTGAATCCCGCCCTTGGGCGAAAGTTGGGGGCTTTCTCTTTTCAACGCCTTTCAATCAAGCCATCAGAGTTGGGAAAGGGGGCCTTGGAGGTCGTCTAGCCGGGTCTTATCCACCCCCCACCCACCCCCGACGCCTGGCTTTTCTGGCCCCGCCTCCGAGCATAAAACTTCCAAAACTTGCCAAACGTTCCCGCGTAACTTGGAAGTTGCTCGCCCGGCTCTCGCCGTCTCTTTTAAAAAAATAAATAAATAAAAGTTTTTTTTTTTAAATAAAAACTTGAACGTATCCTCTTCCATTAAACAGTGTGTAAATCTGGGTACAACACGTCTCTGTGCAATTGCATCCCAGTTTACAACGTTCGTTACATCGGTGATAATTCTCTAATCTTACAATGTTCATAATCACTTCTCCCTCTTGACGGATCTTCTAATGAAAATATTATTATATTGAGTACGGTTATCTTAACAATCATCTACTGTAAACCACTGCGTCACCGGGGCTCTTGGTAGGCTTTCCTGCCTAAGGGGGTGTGGGGGTTGGACTAGAAGACCTTCAAAGGTCCCTTCCAACTCTCTGATTCCATAATTCTATCATAGTCGTCGTATTCTTTACATCTCTAAACACATCGTTGCACTAATATCCATTTATTTCTCACTTCTAGCTCATTGCTGCTTTGGAGCAACTTATCAACTATGGAGTCTCTAACCGTCCCCCCCCCCCATCCTGCCCTGAGGTCCCGAGGTGGGGGGAGAACTCCGGTTTCTCAGCTGGCTTTTATCTCTTAAGGGAGGGGCCTTTACTTTGCAGCCTTACTCCCGAGTCACCTGTGCTGCTGCAGCTGCTCTTTCCTTCGAGCAGCCCTGCACGCACGCACCCTGGGCCCAGGCTCCTCGGGGGCCTCTTCCTCACTGCTGCCAGCCTCCACAATCTCCGAAGGCAGCACTCCACTCCCTGATGGTCCTGGCCCCATCCCTGCCTCCCACGCAGGCCCCTCACCTGAGTCCTCGCTCTCCGAGACCTCAGCTTTCCTCACCTGCTGCCGGTGAACCACAACAATTTCATGAAAGAAAGATGGGTCAGATCTGCACCCTTATCCTAAAACGTCTGGCCTGGGTCATTGTTTAGTTTAGTTTACTTTATTGTCATTGCACCTTTTACAACGAAATCCAACACCCATCTTCAGTGCACATCATGACCATGAAAATAAACACAAACACACATCCTTCACCCTCCACACATTCAATGGAAAACCCCTGACGCTGCATTAATATTGCACTATATACAGTAGAATTCAACAGAGCTCCTGCCCTGGGATAGAAGCTGTTTTTTCAGCCTATTTGTCCTTGCTTTTGTTATCCTGTACCGTCTGCCAGGTGGTAATAGTTCAAAAAAAGGGTCCCCCAGGATGAGACGGATCTTTGAGGATGTTTTGAACTTTCTTAAGGCAGTGGGAGCTATAAAGCTCTTCCAAAGAGGGGAGAGGGCAACCCATAATCCTCTGGGTAATGATGTTAACCCTCTGGAGCGCTTCCCATCTGCGACTGCAATTGGCAAACCATATAGGGGTACAGTAAGTTAAGATACTCTCTATGGTGCAGCGGTAGAAGGTCACCAGCAGTTTTTCATTCATTCATTCATTCATTCATTCATTCATTCATTCATTCATTCATTCACTCTTGCATTGCATTTCATCCCTTGATCCGGTCCAGATGTTCTGACATTAAGAAACAGCCAGAGACATGATCAACCTTAATCGGTACATGAAAAGGAAACGGAGACACACCGTGGGATTAAGCCCCCACTGAAGAAACAAGGTGGTTGTAGCTCAGGGCTCTTAACCCCAGGATGAGGTGAGGCAGAGGCAAAAGTCTTTGACGAAATACAATTTAATTGCCAGCTTGTGCGTTCCATTAAAAACAAAAAAACAAAATCGAGGGTACGATTTTGACGTCTCAACCTTCCTGCCCATCCCAGCTGGCTTGCCCAAAATGTGCTAGAGGAAAAAGAAATGGTAGTACAGTCCTCGAATTACGACCCCAATGGATCCCAAATTTTCCATTGCTAAGTGAGGCAATTGTTAAGTGAGTTTTGCCCCCATCTGATGACTTTTTTGCCGCGGTTGTTAAGTGAAACACTATAGAGAGTAAAAGGGAATTTGGCTTTCCCCGCTGACCTTGCTTGTCAAAAGGTTGCAAAAGGGGATCACGTGATACTGCAACTGTCATAATTGTGAGTCGGTGGCCAAGTGGCTGAATTTTGATCATGTGACCATGTGGGACAGCTGCAACAGTTGTTAAGTGTGAAAATTGGTAATAAGTAAGTTTTTTCAGTGCCCTTGTGACTTCGAGCAGTCACTAAATGAATTGTTGTAAGTCGAGAACTACCTGTAGGTAGATCCTAGGTAGGTCCCCAGATGAAACGAGCTATTTTCCTTCCTTCCTTCCTTCCTTCCTTCCTTCCTTCCTTCCTTATCTATCTATCTATCTATCTATCTATCCATCCATCCATCCATCCATCCATATATCCATCCTCTCCTTCCTTCCTCTCTCCCTCTCTATCTATCCATACATCCATCCCTTGGGAGTTGAAGTCCACAAGTCTCAAAGTTGCCAAGTTTGGAGACCTCTGATGTATGCACAATACTGGAAAAGGGAAGATACACCACAAGGTGAAGAGATAGTCAAGAAGGTATTAGATTGTGCAGAAAAGGACAGACGGACGCTGAAAATTAAACAGAAAGAAGATGTAAATGTTTATCAGACATGGAATCTCTTTTACCAGTGGCTGTTTTGCCAGTGGCGATGAAGAATGCAAATTTATAACGATGAGGCAATAATTACCCAGACAACACGATGTTCATGAAGCACTAAGAAATATATTTAGCAGAAAACCAATACAAAATTATTTAAAAAACAAGAAGTTTGGGGTTCAACTAAGGTAGTAAGAAGAGTCTACCTTGTGTTGTCGTGTATGAGTATGTGTGAGTGTGTAATTGTCTTTTGCATTGGGCTTTGGTGTTTGTAAACTGCCCTTTGAGTGAGTCAGGCGGCCGTATAAAATTTTCTCAATAAAACTTTTTTTAAAAAATAAAATGATTTGGGGGAGCAGCAAGTTGGAAGGACGCTGGCAAGTTTCCCCTCGGGCAGCAGCTTCTTTAACCCCGAGCTCCTCCGAGACTTCAGAAGGCATCCAGCTGTTGCAAAAAAACCAGCCTCCACAGCTGGATTCCCTTTTGTTCTAAGCGGTGCAGACCCAGACACTGTGAAGCTTGGGATTCAAAGCCCCCCACCCCCCCACCCCCGGACTCGGTGGGCCGGGCCGAGAGGGAGGTCAAACTCGCCTACAGCCAGATTGCTTCATTAGAAGAGACACTTTGACAGCAAAGCAGCGGGGGGGGGGCTTTGTGGGGCACTGGGGTGGGGGGGCTAGGGAGAAGGCAGGGGCCAGACAGGGAGGGGGCTTCTCCTTTTTTCTAAGGGGATCTGGAAAAAAGCCTGTTTAATCCACTGGATTAACAGGGAACCGTCTCCCCTGCCCCCCCAGCTTCTCTGCAAAAAGAGAGAGAGAGAGAGAGAGAGAGAGAGAAAGAGAGAGAATTGTAAATGCAAAAAAAAAAAAAGTTTTGACTCAACAGGATTTGGTGGGAGTCCTTGATTATCTGATCGGAGCCATTGGAGGAGGCGTCCGCTGTTTGTTGATTCGGGTCTTATTTCTTGCTTTTAATGTTATTCCCCAGGCAAAGGATTAATTGAACTAAACTGTTGCCACAGCAACCTTACAATACGCGGCTTTGATCAAACGAAAACTCCAGACAGGATCAGGAGAGAGATGCGAAGAAGTCCACAAAACAAAACAACAAAACAACACACACAAAAAAACAAACAAAAACAAAAAATCGGGGTTGGGAGAAGCAAGCAGAATCGGATTCCCAACGTCAATCATATGGTGGGACTGTTGTGTTGTGGCCCGCCAGTGGAGCTGGCGGCAGATTCGGACAGTGAGGAGGTTAGAGAGGAACATGGGCCAGTCCTGGAGGCTGGGGAAGGCTCTGACAAGGGCTCTGCGTCGGAGGCAGAGATGGGGCCGGGGCCATCTGACAGTTATCAGCTGCCTTTGGAGCCAGAGATCAGTGGGGAAGAAGAGCAGCGGGAGCCTGTTCCCAGTGTGCATATGCGCAGAGCTGCCAGGAGAAGGAAACAGCTGAGGAACAAGGGTCGACTTGGGAGTAAAGCCACAGGTGGCCTCTCCCATAGGGAATAAAAGAGGAGCGAAAGGGGAGTGGGGTTTTGCAGGAGACAGTTAGTTCAATTCATTAGGGTGAAGATCTGTTCCTGACTTCTTGTCAAGTAATTGCTGCTATAGCGTGGCGTTTGGAAGATATCGGCCTGACAACTCTCCAAGCCTGATAAAGGTCTGTAGTTGTGC